CCTGTTGATGTCAGTACCACCGATGTTCATTAAAAGTAGAGTTACTGTATCAGAATTTTGCATGCTTGCCGATGAAAGTGTAACAAATAGGAGCTTGTTAGTGAAGTCTTGCTCTGGACACCAACACATGGACATGCCAGCGTCGGCCGTTCCCAAAAAGAATCAGGAGGTATCCGTAGGAGGTCACTTGGTGCAGAAAAACTGCACGTTAACTACCCGACAGTGCCCATTTTTGGGACAGGAGCATTGGAGAGCAACACTGCTGAGAATTGGAGAAGTTCTAACATGTTACATGAGTTCTCCTCACTACATCACAACACAGTACTACTTACCACAACCACAGGAATTCTGACAGAACTGTCCCAATCAGCCCGTTTAAAGCTAAGTACATCCACTGTTGTGGAGTTGGCCACACAAATGACTCCAGCTTCAAATGGTGAAGCACCAAGAGGCCAGGCCACAGCAACACCATGTTGAACATGCCCACAAATCCTGAACAACAGGATAGAAGACTTTCTGTTAGTATCGGGGGCACAGAGTAGCAATACCACATTGGTTTTTATTGTCCAAACAGTACCCGTGCAGTCGCAGCCTTTATACAGCTGAATTGATGCAGGGTATTACATAATAAACAATACAAATCACAACAATCAAATAATAATACACATGATACACATATTTGTCGCAAGGGTCTGTGCGGCTGCCATTCGGTGCCACAAGGTGACCTCAATACTACTTTCCCCAACCAATGTTAGGTACCCATTCACACCTGGGTGGAGTGAGGAAAGTCGTGTAAAGTGCCTTTCCCAAGGGCACAACGTCGGGGCGCATGTCCAGACATGTCCCGGGTACGACCCGGAATCGAACCCAGGTCTCCCCGCTTCATAGTCGAATGCTCTAACCACTACACCACCCGACGCCACTGTCATCAACCAGTTAAATGGATTTTCATGCACCTAGATGCAAATTATACATCCGTTTTCATTATCAATATGGACATCTATAGTGTTTTCTCAGACCCAGTCAGATTTGAACTTCAACATGTACATTCCCAACACTGTGTTGGGAATGTATATGTCGAAGTTCAAATCTGACTGGGTCTAATCATGTACATTTGTAAGTACATGTACAAACATGATATGCATGCTAAATCTTCACCTAAGTTTTGGCCTCCCATTTCTCAGTGGTGTTACAACTCTGCACAGATTTGTTTTAAACATTTGAAAAGTCTGTTACGACAATTTTAGTTGTTGAAATATTATTAGTGGCCCAGTGAAACCTTTTTTGTATTCCCAGTGATACGGTTTTGTCAACTTGGATGCATTTTGCGTAGAATGGCACAATTGGATGTTGTGGAAAATTAACAGTACTTTTATCTTTCTCTAATTTTTCAGCAACAGGAAAAAGTAATCTGCACTTCCTGGCAAGCAATTTCTTTTTTCTTACAGCTTCATACAAAAATGCATGAAAAAAATAACTATTTTTTCAGGTGTAAAATCTGCTTTCATTCCAGCATCTACCCCAACAGGTTTCTTGGCAATACAGTAACTGTAAATATAATTATGACTATTCAAACATCTACAATTTATCTCAACTTCCCAAAACTTACAGACAAACAAAAAACTATTCTTCTTTTAACTTCCCAAAACCCACAAATTTTAGAAAAGGTGGGACATTGCGTCTTCCATGATTTACAGAGAAGTCAAACCCCTTAGACATAGTTTTAGACATAGCAAGAGTTTTAGACAATTAGATTTCATTATGTACATTTTGAAGTTATTTAATACTCTGTTTCAAAGTTCTTTTATTGTAACTTGCAATTAGCCTTCGGGCATGGATTTGCAATAAACTTCTCTATGAGTACCATATATATGATGTGTTACCCACCAAAAAACATTGGAATATCCAGTCTCTCCTCGTTATCTACTTTCTTCTTCAGCATGACGAGGTACACGGCGTACAGCGCCGCCCCGCACAGCGCCCAGAGAGCGCCCAGCTGTAGCTGGTCCTGCTGACTGGAGTGAGACATGGACACCAGCACGATGCCACCAATACTGCACAGAAAAAACACAACAAAATATAATAATGGTTTATTGGCCAAACATCTCCTGTGCAATCGCATCCTTATAGTGCTGAATTGATGCAGGGTTTACAATTAGATGATACAAATGGTAATAATACACATAATGCACATGATACATACTTTTAGTACTTGTTTCACATTTTTGTGGAACTGCCGCAAGGGTCTGTGTGGCTGCCATTTGGCGCCACAAGGTGACCTCAATACGGCTTTCCCAATCAAAGTTCGGTACCCATTCACACCTGGGTGGAGTGAGGAAAGTCGTGTAAAGTGCCTTTCCAAAGGACACAACGTCGGGCGCATGTCCAGACATGTCCCGGGTATGACTCGGGATCGAACCCGGGTCTCCCGGTTCACAGTCGAATGATCTACCACTACGCCACCCGATGCCACTAAATATGCAACAACCTTCCCTACAACAGAGTTATGGGGTTTCCAACAGCAAGGTAAGCCAGTAGAAAGGCATCTTGTTGCATGCATCAACTTGTCAATGGCTGTGTACAATCATTACTTAAGAACAATGCTCTTCAGAATGACCAGAATTGTAATGTGTAATTTATATGGAGCCTGCACCAATTAAAAATCTTTCCCCAAGGACACATGGAAACGGCCGATATTTGCTCTGTAAAAAATGTCGCCATCTTGCATCCATTCTCAGAAGAGACCAACTGCGCATGACTGGGAAAGAAAGGGCTTTGATTGGAGCTAAAATTTAGTGGGAAGTTTGAATCAGCCAATGGGACGTCATTTTCCCTTTATGTCCCTGTACATGTGCTTTATTCTCCTTCTTTGTTGGGCGAGTACTCAATGTCTCAATGCAGGAAAACATGCGTAGCAAACAGTAAAAACATGAACTCGCAAGATAAAACAAGCTGCTCTTCTCCCGCCATTTTGGCTGGCAACATCCCACACTATGTTCCCGTTACAGGTGGTGAAGCGTTTTGAAAGATTTCGGAATGGTATTCCATTCCCAATCTAAAGTAGGCCTAAGAGTCAGCAAGAGTAATACAAAAAACATGACTGAAGTGAAACTCCTGGTGCTAAACAACAAAACGGACAATTACATGTACTAAAGACTTGGTATGTGATGATGGTGTGAATTTCCCACACAGTTTGAGGTCCTGGCTTTTATATGAAACTAGGGCAAGAATCGCCAGTTACTTGGCCATTATTGGCTATTAGTCGGCAGCAGCCATGTGATTGGTCCTTGCTAAAAAGTACATGTGAGACAGTACTCAGCAGCTGCAGATAAAATCACTGCACACCTGAATATCATACAGAAAATCACATCTGTGTGGCCATACAAGGCTCGAAATTCATTTTTGGGAATAGTTGCACACAACCTGAAAAATTAGGTGCACAAAAATTTTTTGGGGTGCACCATATAAAATAAAACCTAATTACAGATCTTACTGCTCCTCTTCTGAGCTTGAATTGAAATGGGAGCTTACTTCAAAATCTTCAAAGATTTTATTATTTTCTGACACTTAGATACCAAGAATATCCTGCATACTATTATACAGTTGACATGTACAAAATTACCTACAAAAATATTTGTGTGCACCCACAGAAAAAAAATTGGGTGCACAGCTCCAATTTTGGGTGCACTAAGGTGCACAAGCACCCAGTATTTCCAGCCCTGCAATACAACAAGGACACTATCACTTGTTTGAGTGACAGGCAGTGCATACCTTAAGAGAACGGCAACCAACTTGGACGCTGTAAATTTGTCTCCATATGAGCTGGGAAACAGTGCTGCCAGAACCAAGGTAAACAGGCCTGTAAATAGAGGGAGAAGTTGGCTGAGCAGTCTTGTAACAGTGTTACACCAATTTAATTTGTTGTTTCTCGGATTTTTTCAGATAAAATATGAAGTGACAGGGCGAAAAAAAAAACAGGCCAAGGCACCCCATGATAGCCGGAAATGTTACAATATGAACCATAAAGTGAACATACCAGGCTGGTTTATAACTAAAACAATAGATTTTGAACTTTCAATGAAACAAAATTGCATTGTTACATTGAAAAACTTGAACAACTAGGAAGAAAAGGACTTTCTTCAACAGTTAGGGCCAAAATATGTCTTTCATTGAGTATTTTGCAGTTGATTTTGAACCTAAAAAGATTTTTTTTTTTTTTTGCAAATCAGGAAAAAAATGGACAGGGCAAACCTGAGAAACAACAAATTAAATTGGTGTGACCTAAAGATGACACAAAAAAATTTATCTCTTTTTTTACCAAGAACAGGTGTACCAACCTACTTACTCTGTACCTGAAAATAGCCATCTATCAATATGATCCTTGTACTGCAGCATGCAAAATACCTGGTTGCCCAGTTCCCCCGGACAACCAAATTTTACTTGGGGCAACCTATTTTTGAACCTAGGTAGCCCAGTGCTACCTGGATTTTAAGAAAGCACCCCCCCCCCCCAAAATCATGCCCACTTGGCTTGCACCACTGTATCTGGCAGATGCTTTTTAATTTCAGTTATTAATGGCTATTACTAGTATCAGTTAACTAAAGGCTGTTAGAAATATTGTCAAAGGCGTATGTATGTAACATTACTTAATTTGAGGAAAGTACTAACTTATAGGTGGGGCAACCTAAAATTCTGACGGGCAACCTAATTTTTGCTGTAGGTTGTCCACTGGGCAGCCTGGTTCAAAAAGGTATTTTGTACACTGTACTGCACCTGAGGTAGATGACAGTATGTTGACTACAGCAGCCTGTGTGTCGTCCAGAGCCTCTTGATATGACAGATTACCAAGGAACCACTAGAGAGAAAAGTAGCATCATGGTTATTTATTTTTTATTTATTGAAATTGCAACAGTGCAATACACATGTGACAAAGGCAGATGTTGCTGATGTTGTGTGAACTTGTGTCCCAAACATAGAAACGAATAATGGGCAGACAATACTCATTTTCACTTGAGTTTAGTGGGGAAAGTCATGTAAAGTGTCTTTCCGAGGGCACAAGATCAGTGGCATGTCAGGACTCAAACCGGGACCTCTTGGTTCCGAGTCGAGCACACTGCCGTTACGCCACACGACCCCACAATAACTGACCCCACAATAACATAACTGACAGTTCAACTATCTATAGCTGTAACAGTCATCACCATACATGTACATTACAAAACTGGTTATACGTGTCTCAACTACTAGTACTAGTATCATATGTTATGTTCATTTTACATAAATTCTCCTGCACAAATACACAAATACATGTAAGGCCACACCAATTTAATTTGTTGTTTTTCAGATTTGCCCTGTCCATTTTTTTCTGATTTGCAAAAAGTTTTTTGATGTAACAATGCAACTTTGTTTCATTAAAAGTTCAAAATCTATTGTTTCAATTATAAACCAGCCTGGTGTGTTAGCTTCATGGTTCATATTGTAACATTTCTGGCCTTCATGGGGTGTCTTGGCCTGTTTTTTGTTTTTTTTTGCCCTGTCACTTCATATGTTTTTCTGAAAAAATCCGAGAAACAACAAATTAAATTGGTGTGGCCTAATATAAAAATACTCTATTATCCATTAACTATATCAAAGAACAGCATATGCTGGCATCTCACCGGTATACAGAACAGCAATGCTATCTTGGCCACTTGTTTAGGGTGGAGTTTGTTAGCACTTCTACTGTGAGACTCCTCCAGCCTGAGAGAGGCTGTGTAGGACATTCTGGCAAGATTAGCTGCTTCTGCTTCAGTGTCTATGGACATGGAGAACATAATAGTTTAATTCTGGACTACTTCCCATATCTCAGCAACCTTACATCTAGATGGGCTAATGTGGTTAACTACAGGTAAAATGATGTAAGAACCTCTTAGGGGTTAACCCAAGAGGTCCTCGTTGGTTGCTCTGTATTTCTTACATTTTACCTGTAGTTAACGACATTAGCCCATCTAGATGTAAGGTTGCTGAGATATGGGAAGTAGTCCAGACTAGAGTTCGAAGAACTAGAACTAGAATTGCTTCTTCAAACTCAAATGTTTTTGTAAGATTCGACCCCATTGGTGCACAGGTCATTTCACCCTTTGAATTTTTTTGGACGCACTCAGCAGTTCTACTGCAGTACCATAGATTCTATGATAGTGAGCCATTATTGAACCTGTTCTTTGTTTTGTTGACACTTATGCACACTGAAACATGTCTGTTAGCTATTATCTAGGAAGGTTTTGTTGAAGACATTATGAGTAAAGGGATGGTGTCTGTCATTTCTTACTGTTCAGTTGACAACAACAAGATGAAATATAATCTATGATATTCAAATTCAACACAAATACTGTACAGTGTTCAACTACATGTACTAACATAAACTACTTCTGTGCAATATTGGCACATCACTGATGAGACAAAACAGCCCAATACTGTCACCAGAGCAGGAACATGATGACACTGATGCATTCTAGCTAGTATTCAAATTCCAAACAAGTAAAATCTGAGATTTTATACCTCCGGGCTTTTTATTGAATATTTTTATATGTTGTTTACAACAAGAATTGTTGTGTGCCGCAGGACTAGGATTTTAAACAAAGAATTTATCGAGACCGGACACCCCTCTGTGCGAGGGGTCACCTTCGTGGACGAGACCGACAATACCTAATACACGCCAACGGTTAACGGTCGTGACTGCTCAAAGGGGTGTTCTGGGGCCACCAAAAGGCACCATTTCCACGCCCGAAAACACAGATACAATAAAAACAAAAGAATGTGCATTATCTGCAGCCCAATAGCAAAACATATACCGAGTCTCAAAAGAATCCGTCCACCCAAACGCGAGAAACAGCTGCGAACATGAAAATCTAAATCTCTCACAAAACCCTTCCGCGGAAGGATGTCTCCTTCCCTGGAGGTAATAACACAAGTCAGCCAGGTTAGAGAAGCATAAGAGGTGGTTTGACTAACCTGACATGTGTCTCACTTCTAACAGGTTACTGAACCGCACTTTGCCTTTCTTTTTTAGAAGAGCTGGACCTGCAATAAGGGACAAGGCATCAGTTTGAGGTAACTTACAGATAATGCACCTCCTATTCAACAAACATGGTACAAAATAAGTAAAACAATAATATAGTATAATGCAACATCGAGAATAATAAAATAAAATCAGGATGGAAATTGAATCAGGATGAAAATTTGCACAACAATGTTTTGGCAGGAAACCAGTCAAGTTTATATAACATTAATCATCTGAAAAGTGCTGAGTTCTTGCTGATTTGTGATTTGAGATGATTTGGTAGTGTGTTCCAAGTGCTGACCCAGAGAATGAAAAGGCTGACATTTTCTGTATTCTAAGTTAGTCCTGGGCAACTGGAGGTCCCCTGTGCCATGAGACAGGTATATTGTGTGTGTACATGTGATAGTCGTGTCACCATTGCTGTGATGTAGGGAGGAGTCAGGCATTAACCTGATGACTAAGGCCACACCAATTTAATTTCTTGGTGAACGGATTTTTCTAGAAAAATAATGGAGCAGGCGGCTGAAAAAAAAATAAAAACAGGCCTAGGCATCCTATTATGGCCCAAAATGGTACAATAAGAGCCATGAAGTCAACACACCAGGCTGGTTCAAAATTTAAACAACGAATTTTGAACTTTTATTGGTACCACTGCATTGAAAGATGGAATAACTGTAACAACTAGGAAGAAAAGGACTGTTTTCAACTGTTCAAAGTATGAGCATTTTGCAGTTGATTCTGAATTATTTTTTTTTGTTTTTTGCAAGTCAGAAAAAAATGAAGCGGGCGAATCCGTTAACCAAGGAATTAAATTGGTATGGCCTAAGAGACAAGAGCTGTATATTTCTTGTGAATACCTGCTACTGGCAGGTTAGTATACTGGTCACAGCCAAGAATTACCCAACCTGCTGTTTTACAGTTTTTTTTTCAACATATTTAACTGTAAGGGTTGAATCCTTTGGATATGAAGGTCTTACTTGTTTCCACTGACTCTAGTTTGTCCAGGTCACTTGCTACACTGCTCCTCTCACTGTCACTCAGCTTGATGGGGACGTACAGGGGCTCACTCTGAGGGCACACAGAGATATGTCAGCAACACATTATATACCAGTAAGTAGTGCTGCATACCGGTTCACTGGACTTGGATCCGGACTTGTAAGAATGTTTAGGTTCAAGTCCAAAAAAACTAAATACAAGAACCGAGTCCGGACTTATTACCATAAAAGACCATTTCACATACCCCTTTTCTTTCCAAACCACCTAAAACCTCCCGTTGATTGCAAAATGAGGAAAACATTGCCATCGGGCATCGTCAAGTACCGGCCTCCATGTTATGTGGCCAAAGTTTCAGCCAGACAACATTGCAAGGTTGCCAACATGCAATTTTGTATATGCCATGGGTTTAGGTCTGGACTTACAAGTCCGGAACTGAACCTAAACCTCTGGACTTGAATCCGGACCTGAACCTAAATGTGGGTTTAGGTATGCAGCACTACGAGTAAGCCACCAAGGGCACTCTAACTGCTGCTATTTCTTCAGTACTCTTTGCACATTCATGTGTCACAATATCCACGCTTATGACATAATTGAACATACAGTGTAAATCGGCAAGACTCACATTACTAACAAACCATTACACCAAAGAAGATCAACATTCTTACCAATTTTGAGTCACGTCCATCATCTGACAGATCTTGATCTGGATCAGAGCTAGTTTCATTGTTGTCTGCATCTACAACCTGCAGGTAGCACAAAGGAACAATGATATTTTGATCCTTCATTATCAGACATAATTTATGTATGAAAAAATTAAAACAACGACAGTAGATTGAAACAAAACTGATTTAGATTGACATGTGCTTTAGGCATGACAGATAAGTCAGTCCCAATTTAGTGTATACTAGAGAAGTAACATTTGCAAAGCAAATGCATAATGTTACCTTCGGACATGGTCTGCTCTGTTAATTTATACTAATAAACACATTCACATACATATATTACGACTACGAGTATATGTATGGTGAGAGGAGCAGAGCAGACCATGAAATTGCAACATTATGTAACCCAACACCAGTCACCATGGTGGCAGACATCAACAAATCACGTCAGAGGTTAGTGTTTGGAACAGAAGAGGAGGAAGAAACTAAATAAAAACAATATGTTTTCCTTCGGTAAACATAACTAGTAGTAATGGTGTAAAAAAAACAAATCTGCTTACTTGAATGACAGTATCTACAAAATCCTTTCACACTACAAATGCCACAGACCGCTCCCTGATTATGACTGGTACATGTACATTGTACCAGGGAACTGTACCTGTTCAGGGCCTGTGTGTTTAGGTACAGGTCCGTGCCTGTGTGTTTAGGTACAGGTCCGTGCCTGTGTGTTTAGGTACAGGTCCGTGCCTGTGTGTTTAGGTACAGGTCCGTGCCTGTGTGTTTAGGTACAGGTCCGTGCCTGGGTGTTTAGGTACAGGTCCGTGCCTGGGTGTTTAGGTACAGGTCCAGACTTGACTGTCAGTGTACAAATGCCTAAACACCCAGTCTGGTGGTTACCATTTTTACACTTAACTTAAGATAGATAAATCCTATTTCAATTTTGAATTGAGCGAAGAACAGCGAAGGTATTCTTGCTATAACATCAAAAATATACTTAGGCCATATGCATATTGATTTGATTATATGGATGACATTCGCAACCACATGAATTTTGTCTGTTTCAACAAAAAATAAAACAGTTTTCGACCATACTGTAAATCATACAAAGTAGCAAAATGAGCAAATATATGCTGTAAATTGAAAAAAATATTGGAAAATGATAGTTATCTCACAGAATGCCAAAATCCATTCCAAAGGACAAGAAGAAAATGTGAAGGAATGAAAATGAAGTCTATTATTCTCCATGCCAATAAAATATTACTGTGTGTTTAGTCATTTGTTCAACCTTCATGACCACCTAGATTTTATAGTGAAGGCAACTTTTTTTTTGCCAACGTTTTTTTATTCTCATGCTCGCATCAGTTTTGGGGTTCCCAGAGGATGTCATCCATATACATTAATTTGTAATCAAATCAACATGGCCTTAGATGAGAATTCAACTGTCATGTTATAGAAAAGGCTGCCTTAGATCCTTGATGGTAGTTGTTTCTGTCACAGCCTTGAAAATTTCACAGCATCAAAATTCTTCAGCAACCTACCACGAACGTGATCTTGCCATAACAAACTTGTTGGGATACAGGTAGTGCTGTGTACCGCTTCACTGGACTTGGATCCGGACTTGTCAGAATGTTTAGGTTCAAGTCCAAAAAAACCCTAATAGTCAAAACCGAGTCCAGACTTATTACAAAATAAAAAACATATCACAATACCCCTTTTCTTTCCAAACCACCTAAAACCTTCCGTAGATTGCAAAATCTTTGCTGCAAAATGAAGAAAACATGCAATTTGCCATCGGGCATCATCAAGTGTCGGCCTCCATGTTATGTGGAGAAAGTTTTGCCCATACACCATTGCAAGGTTGCCAACACGCAATCTTGTGTATGCCATGGGTTTAGGTCCAGACTTGTAACTGTACCTAAACCTCTGGACTTGAATCCGGACCTGAACCTAAATGTGGGTTTAGGTACACAGCACTAGATACAGGTACAGAACTGGTACAAGTACATACCACTGTTCCATTGTGTGTGCTACTGTTGTCAGACTTCCTAACATGGCTGCAGCATTGTTCTCTCCAGGGTCTCCAGAACAGGAACCCACCCAGGTACAGGATAAACATAGATGTCTTGGCATAGGTGCTGAAGTAGGGCTTGTCAAAGCCAGCATTCTGATAGATGTACTGAAAAGGAAATCATGCTTGTATTACAACTGAAATAAATTTGTTACAAAGAGAGAGGCACAAAGACTTAAATAGCAGCTTCAATAGCATGGAAGAAAATTTTGGTAATTTAGTTTCAGTATTGTAATTCATTCATTTATTTCATTCATTTATTTACTTTACCAGCAAAATACACTCAGGTTACATTAAACAACCTGTTTTTCAGGTAGTGCTGGGCATACAAATACAAATACTGACAAACGTTATACATTACAAGAAACAGACATAATCCAAAAGGAATTCAAAATGATATAATTAGTAATATTATTAAATTTCAGCCAACATCATGTTTACCGAAGGAAAACATATTGTTTCATATTAGGCCACACCAAATGGCAATTCAATTTCTTGGTTAACGGATTCGCCCGCTTCATTTTTTTCTGATTTGCAAATAAAAATAAAAATTCAGAATCAACTGCAAAATGCTCATATTTTGCCCTGAACAGTTGAAAACAGTCCTTTTCATCCTAGTTGTTACAGTTATTCCATCTTTCAATGCAGTGGTATCATTAAAAGTTCAAAATTCATTGTTTAAATTTTGAACCAACCTGGTGTGTTGACTTCATGGCTCCTATTGTACCATTTTGGGAGCGATTTTGGGCAATAATAGGATGCCTAGGCCTGCTTTTATTTATTTATTTTTTTCGCCCGCCCGCTCCATTATTTTTCTAGAAAAATCCGTTAACCAAGAAGTTAAATTGGTGTAGCCTTAGCTTCAATATTTTGCCCAACTCCCCAATAATGGGTGAGGAGGAAGATTGCGTACCTTAGTGAGTTCTGACGAGCCGACCCAGATAGCATCCACCAACAGTAACAACAGAACCCCGAACACCAGTCTACGAGGGTCTCCAGGGGAGAAACTGAACAGCCCTATCGCCATGTGGGCCTCAAACAGGTCACCTAGAAGGAACAGGAGTGTTAACTTTTAACAATAAGGTACAAGGTAGTCCCATAGCCTTTTTACAAGTCTGTGGGTTATTATCCACTGTGCACAGTCAAGGGTATGGGTAGTGATGCATACCAGTTCACTGGACTTGGATCCAGACTTGTAAGAATGTTTAGGTTCAAGTCCAAAAAAAACCTAAAAGTCAAGAACCGAGTCCGGACTAATTACCATAAAAGACCATTTCACATACCCCTTTTCTTTCCAAACCACCTAAAACCTTCTGTAGATTGTAAAATCTGTGCTGCAAAATGAAGAAAACATTGCCATTGGGCATCGTCAAGTACCGGCCTCCATGTTATGTGGCCAAAGTTTCACCCAGACAACATTGCGAGGTTGCCAACATGCAATTTTGTATATGTCATGGGTTTAGGTCCGGACTTACAAGTCCGGAACTGAACCTAAACCTCAGACTTGAATCCGGACCTGAACCTAAAATTGGGTTTAGGTATGCATCACTAGGTATGGGTATTGGAAGGCTGAGCCCATCCCTCTCCTTCCACTGCCTTTACCTTCCCAACCAAACCCTTTCACACCTGGGTGGAGTAAGGACAGTTATGTTATTAGGTCAAGGGCACAAGATCAGTGACATGACAGGATTCGAACCAAGGACCTCTGGCTTTTCTGGGCCTGCTGTTATGCTACACGACCCCACATTTCAATAATAGCACCCTGACAAACCTACTGTCATTGCACACCTATATGGCACCCCTTTGTATCACATGTTGGCTGTGGCAATTTTTACCCAAAACCAATTTGTTTGTTTGTTTGTTTATTTGTTTGTTTAGGATGTCCATTAGTGTGAATTTCACACTACTCTTGCTGGTGTCCGTAGTAAATAATCAGACCAGTATTTGGACCATCACACACTGGGGCATGCCCCTACTCTTTTTCGAAAGGTGTGGTGGGTTCTTTAACGTGCGTGGGGTGTGGCTCTCCCCAAACATGGGACCTCCATTTTACGTCCTATCCGAGGGACGTCCCTAGCCGAAGCTAGGTACTCATTTCCACCTGAGTGAAGTGAGGAAAATCGTGTAAAGTGCCTTTCCCAAGGGTACAACGTCGGGGTGCATGTTTGGACTTGTTCAGGTACGACCCGGAATCGAACCTGGGTCTCCCCGTTTCATAGTCCAGTGATCTACCACTAAGGAACACGACGCCACACGACGCCACACGAGTGTGTGATATCATCAGCTGCTGACATGCGTCATGTTTCTCCCTTAGGCCACACCAATTCAATTTCTTGGTTAACGGATTCGCCCCCTTCATTTTTTTCTGATTTGCAAATAAAACTAAAAATTCAGAATCAACTGCAAAATGCTCATATTTTGCCCTGAACAGTTGAAAACAATTCTTTTCATCCTAGTTGTTACAGTTATCCCATCTTTCAATGCAATGGTATCATTAAAAGTTCAAAATTCATTGTTTAAATTTTGAACCAGCCTGGTGTGTTGACTTCATGGCTCCTATCGTACCATTTTGGGCCATAATAGGATGCCTAGGCCTGTTTTTATTTTATTTTTTTTCGCCCGCCCGCTCCATTATTTTTCTAGAAAAATCCGTTAAACAAGAAATTAAATTGGTGTGGCCTTGCACGGATGATCTGCACATATCATGTCAGCTTTGTGTTGCCAGCAAGGTTATGGATATGCGATACTGGCAAACATTAGTTTCATTTGTTTTGAGTCTCAAGACTGTAGCTGAGGAGAGGATCACCAAACCACACAGCGCCTGTAGCACAGCTGCAGCTGCACAGCCACCTGCAGCTGCACACCCACCTGCACAGACACAGACTGTTGGGAGGCCAACGAAAAAAGCATGGAGAGATAAAACAACAAGCTATGATGATGATGATGAGGTCATAGAATAATGAACGTTCGTATAGAAAAATATTTTTTTTAAAGTTGTGGCACTTATTCAGCTTTAAAAAAATATTTTATTGGATAGTGCAAGGGTTTGTTTTTCGATTCCAGCAGAACTGACAATTTTAACCTCACTAATACCTTGTTTGGGTCAGTCCTGTTTCAGCTGTAAACTAACGTTAACATGTTAGTGGGGTCATGTGGCGTAACGGTAACGGTAGAGTGTTCAGCCCAGACCCAAGAGGTCCCGGGTTCGAATCCTGCCCGATGTCACCAATCTTGTGCCTTTGCAAAAGGCACTTAACACAACTTTCCTCACTTCACTCAGGTGCAAATGAGTACCTAGCTTCCGTTAGGGACGTCCCTCGGATAGGACGTTAAATGGAGGTCCCGTGTTGGGGGAGAGCCACACCCCACGCACGTTAAAGAACCCACCACACTTATTGGGGTCCTTCCCTGTGTGAGTGCTTCAACCCTTACAATCTGTTCCTATGCAGCTTGTAGAAAACTGGTGTGTTATGCCTATAAAGGCGGTTTACTGGTTATGCCAAAGACACAAACAAAATGTTATAATGTATTCCCTTCGGCCAAATTATGGAAATTCTGGTTCTGGTTTCTATGAGGGCCTGCAAGGGTGGGTAGTGATTACGAATTACGCAAAATCTTCGCCGCCTATTACGAATTACGTTAAAGTCTCAGAGCTGATTATGACTTTACGATTTGCGGCTAATGTCCAATTACGAATTACATTGATTTTGTCAGAGGCTGCCTACGAATTACGAAGTCTAAAACGGCCTAATTACGCCTTACGAAAAAGGGCTTGCAGGCCCTCTTCTTGTATTACAAAAGTGTTGATACTGATCATACCCTGGACTTGAACATATTCGTCATGTATGTCTCTTGTACATCCTACTAACGTTATATCCACGCGCATCCAAGTTAGTTACTTTGTAAATCCCATAATTTCAAATGTGTGTTCATCAAATTATAATAATTTATGCCACAAGCACCGCCCCCCACCCCCTTCCCAACTCAGCAGAAAGCTAGCCACAGGGATCATATATTTTGCCCGGCGTTGCTGTAAGTAACGTTACAAAACTCGGAACATGGCAGCGCCAGCGCAAATTGGCGCTGCAAATTGATAGCTTTCCGTCGAAAACACTAAAATCATTTATCTTCCAACAAAAATTCTGGCCACTATGCTGCTTGTCGGATAAGCGTTCAGTTGCAAAAAATAGTGTATAACACGTTATGTTAAATAAATTATAATTCTATACGCCAAAGCACGGTGTTCAAGAGGCATGGTCTTGTTAAACTTACATGTCTGAACTAACTTCAGAGACCATGAAAATGTCCCTGTACCTCTGGTTTTACTCACCTTCATCCAAAAATTCTTGTCAGGTCAGTTTTTCTGTTTTTCCTGCTTCGTGCTTCATAATAACGGAAGTGACGTAATATCAAGGAAGTCCACTCCTGCCGCAATACAGTAAGACGTCGTAATCCACCACTACCGCAATACGGCAACATGTCGTAATCCATAGGAATGACTATGGACAGGATCGTCCTGTCTGACCTGTCTATAGTGAAAAAAATCTGCACTATTGACAGGACCATCCTGTCAGTAATAGAAGAAAATGCACTGTCGATAGGATCAAATAGTACAAATTTTCCCACTATAGTATTGACAGGATCATCCTGTTGCCTCCGTTTGGCTTGAACCTACTTGACCTTTCATTTCATATTTATTTACCCAGGGTAAAACATATCGCCGCAAGGGCGTTTTTCAATATTCCCTGCAGACAAACATTTACAAAATATACTTAAGTAACAAACAGGAAAACAAAGGTACAAAATAACTTAATCACCAAAAATAACATATTGGTAAAAGTGCTTCAAAATCATACGATAAAGTAATGAATATATGAAACAAGCGAATAAAATATATATAATAAATGATATAGATAAAGAAGGTAATGGAAACTTACATATCAACGTTACAAAACAAAAGTAACGGTTACTATGTTGCGAGAACATTCTGGTTATACAAACGCTTAAACGAGGCGACGGAAGCTGCTGTTTTCAATGTAGATGTGAGAGCGTTTTAAAGAGCTGCACCAGTACTGGACAAGGATTTCTTTTTGTACTGCAGATGAGCCATAGGCAGTTGTAGTCCCCCCTGTGCTCTTAAGCGTGTATTGTATGAGTGAACTTCTCTGAGCTGTGTGAAGAGATCCGAGATGTGAGGAGGGGACATAGCCTCTACCAGGCTTGAGGAGGCGGCTGGAAAAAGTAGAAATCGGCCAAAATAGAGAGATAAGCATGCCAGGGGAGTTTGGCCGTTGAGAGAACAGTTCGCCGCCCCACAAGCCTGTCGGTAGTCGCCACGATCAAACGGCATAAAAGTAATCCCCCATTAATCCAACAAAAGAACTATCTCAGCGCAGAAGATCATTTAAGCAATAAACCAACCAGCGCGTCGTGGGGCGGCGAACTGTTCTCTCAACGGCATGCTTATCTCTCTATTTTGGCCGATTTCTACTTTTTCCAGCCGCCTCCTCAAGCCTGGTAGAGGCTAGAGGGGACAAGCCAGAGCCGCGGCTTGGACAAGCACTGCTTTGTTTCTGTTGTATAATTCAACCACAGGTGTCCAACCTAGATTGTGCAGTATGGTGTCAATAGGTGTGTAGCGATCGCACACCAGGATCACCCTTCCCGCCCTGTTCTGTACTTTCTGAAGTTTGTCTATACATTCCTTGCTACCTTGATCCCAGACAGTACTGCAGTATTGTAAGTGGGGGAGGAACAGTGATGTGTATATTGTCAGCAAGGCTTCCGAATATATATTGCAAATGGTTTCAAGCCCTTCATGTCTTTGACAATTTTTAGTGACATGCGAAATGTGGTCGTTCCAAGGTGCTACTCAGAAAGACCCCTGGATACTTGAAAGTATCCACCTCGTCTATGTCTGTGCCTGATAATGTCAGATGAAGGTGACCTTGGACTTGGGTTTTCTTTCGGTCAGTCGACAAAACTAGACAAGATGTGAAACTTGGCCAAATTTTATTTCACAACTCCAAACGGTTACTGAGATATTGCCAACTTTGCACTTCGGCACCTGCCATAGGGCCCGTGAGGTCCGATTATCCGGTAAAATGCGCTATTCTGGCCGTCTTTTTCTTGTTAACGATGATAATTAGGGACTAGGGCATACTCTAACCTTTTGATTGATGTATAGTGTAAGCCTTGTTTACGACAGAAGGGGGGAGGGCGCGGCAAGTCCCATAGTTGCTGTGATATTCCCTGAATATTACTGTGTAATTGGCAGGCGAAACCCGATCTACATCTGGCACGGTGCACCGCGTCACTCGTGGCGCGTCACTCGCTCACTCGCTCCCAAAACTGATGCGAACGTGCGAAAAATAGTTTGGCAAAAAAACTTCTTTAATTATGAAATCTACGTGGTTATGAAGGTTGAACAAATGACATACAGTATGGTATGGCGAATAATCTACTCTTCAAATTCACTTCTTTACATTTTCGTCTTTTTCGTTTGATTTTGACCTTACGGTATATATTTGCAACTGTTTTGTACGATTTACAGTATGGTTGAAAACTTTTTTTTTTTGGAAAGGCCGAAAATTCATGCGCGCGCGGATGTCATCCATATAATCAAATCAACATGGCCTTACCAAGAAGCGTGAGGAAGTTGAAAATTAAAGGCACTCTATGTAGTTTTTTGCGCAAAAATTTGGAATATTCTAATTATACTAAATTTCAGTGTTATTAACAGTTACTATCACTTTTCAACACATTTGTGTCATTATTTCACATTTTTTACGTATATTTTGTCCGTTTAAACAGTCCTTGTTGGGTACCCGGTGCCACCGGTTTGCTCAGGATAACAGGATGCCAAACTCGTTCTTCGGGCGGCAAGAGCCTTTCGCCCGCCGGTGTAAATTACTGCTACGGGGGAGTCTAGCCCCGGGGGGAGTTTGGCCGCCCTATACGAGACTAGTTGGAAGGCCGATATACTCCTCTGCGGGCGAAGTACCCTGGCTGCCGAAAAAAACGGTTAGCGGCCTGTAAACTTGGCTGGCACCCAGGGTAAGGATAACAACAACAACAACAACATACAGGGGTTGCCCCTTAGGGTGGCTAATTGACCCGGCATGCCAGGCTTGATTGACAGGGGCACATGTGACAAGATATAGCCTCCTTAGAAAAACACTCAAATCTTTCACATGAGGTCTGGTGGAATATAATTATCAACTTGGAGTATTTTGTTGGGCATGAATAAACTGTGGTCATTATCCCTTCAAAAGAGATAAAAAATCTGGTAAACGGTTAGGTATTTCAGAAACTGGTAAGCTATCAACTGACACCCCACTGGGATGTAGGTCAAACCACTAGCAGTGGACAATACAATGTACCATATGTGCGGTTTGGCCAGAGGTTGTATAGAAGATCATTCACAGTTTTCTAAGCTTCTAAGGAGCAAGGATGTTGTATTTTTTGTTGAGGAGTATGATTTTGGAATACTAAAGGGTTAAGTCAATGTACTATGTAAAGAAAAGAATGAAAAATATACTTTTTGTATTGTCAAAAAACTACATAGAGTGCCTTGTCCACAGGCGACACGTTTTATATTTTGCAAATACATAAAATCAACACGATAAACAGATGTATAACGTCATCTTTCATGACAACATCTTTCATTTACTACAATATCATTTTTTTACTACAATAACATTTATTTGATAAGATATTGTAATAGGTGCAAACCATAAGTCACAATCACAACAGATACTCGCAAACGATTATACACAACAACCACCTAACATCTGCTTATAGAACCTCGCTTACCCGACAACGGTACAGCCTATTCCACAGGATTGTAAACATAGGGGTGTTTCTGAAACATACATTTACCTCAATGTAAAAACTGACACGGAAAAAAAAAGAAAAAATAGCGCATCATCACGGACATAATGGCAAACCACATGCCCAATTACTAGTACATACATCCTGTATTTTGATTTATGATTTTCGAATTTCTCTGTTACGTTTAATTATCATCATTTTATGTTCCATTCTTGTAGTCCATGGGCTCCCTTGGAAATCAGCCTCAACGGCTGAAGGGACCACCCATTTGTCCGTAAGATAAATAAATAAATAGATAAATAAATAAATAAATAAATAGAAATACAACGGACAGAACCATGACTTTTAGTTGCGAATAGCCTCCCATACCTGAGAACGGCCTCCCATTCCATACCTTTATGTCATACAATGGGCCGCGATTACGTTCGATACGGGTATGCCGGACCAGGCTTTACGGTACGGCTCGGGCTTCATACCAGACTTCACAGGCGACGAAACAGCTGCTTCGAATTAACGAGAACACCACACATCTGCCCGAACCTAAATCAACTGCAAAATGCTCAATAAAAGACATACTTTGGCCCCAACGGTTGAAAAAAGTCCTTTCTTCCTAGTTCTTTTAAGTTTTTCAAAAGTTCAAAATCTATTGTTTTAATTATAAACCAGCCTGGTATATTCACTTCATGTCTCATATTGTAACGTACAGGCCACTTGTCTTATAGCATAGATGATTAAATCTAGACTGTTAGTTATAGTCGCTGGTTATATAGGCCAAAAAAGATGGATCTTAGGAAGGCCCATAGGTACACTTAGCATTTTTTATTCCACTTTGTATTTTCTATGGGTACTTTGTATTTTCTATGGGTACTTTGTATTTTCTATGGGTACTTTGTATTTTCTATGGGTACTTTGTATTTTCTGTGGGTACTTTGTATTTTCTATGGGTACTTTGTATTTTCTATGGGTACTTTGTATTTTCTATGGGTACTTGTTTTTTTCTATGGGTACTTTGTATTTTCTATGGGTACTTTGTATTTTCTATGGGTACTTTGTATTTTCTATGGGTACTTTGTATTTTCTATGGGTACTTTGTATTTTCTATGGGTTACTTTTATTTTCTATGGGTACTTGTTTTTTTCTGTGTGTACTTCGCGAAGTTTTTTTGGTGGCTGGCGAAGCAACATTCATTTTGCTTTGATGTGGATGCTCCCATTTTTATTATGGGCGGTATATTTCTGTTTACCATTCCAGGCAACTAAATTTATTTTGAACCTATTAAAACATAATATACTTTACACTTTAAGAAAATTTTGTTTGTTTTGCATGCAATGTTCCACACGTTTATTAATTAGGAGTATCAAATAGTGATTATTACATCCTGGCATAGATTATGTTAATGTAGACACAGGACCATACTATTTTCGGGGGTGCTAGGACATATTGTTCAGACTTCCGTCAACATTTCCGTAGCGATATATGGTAAATCACTTCCTCGCTGAATGTAAATTACTCCTTTGTATTAAAAAAAGCCCGTTAATCTAAAGCGAGGGTTCATTGCCAATGTTGGGGAAAAATTGCATTGCGGTTTGCTGCCCTCCTACCAACCGCGAACGTTCATCACATGCAGTTTACGCAGGAAATGTGGACAATATGCCGTTTCAGTAAA